CCCTGGCCCCCGGGGCAGAGTAGCTGCCTCCAGGGCCTGCACGACTCCCAGGGGTGCGGGGGGGGTGGGGGGCGGTGAGCCTGGCCGACCCCGTCTGGAGGCTGCAGGCTGGAGAGCAGTGGACTCTCTCTAGCCCCTTGCGGGGAGCTGGGGACGAGCTGAGAAAGGAGGGTGGGTGAGCAGGCAGAGGAAGATTCTGGATAGCCTGTCTCCAGCAGTGGGTGGGGTTGGGGGGGTGCAGGCCCCATCTTGGGGGGTCTGGGAATGGGGTTTTGCTAGTGTGCAAGTGTGTTCATCCCCGAATGCCTCCCTGTCCCCAAGTGTAGGGTTGTGCATGCCCTGAGTGTGAGCAAGTGTGCCTGTGGGGGTGCCCGTGTGCACTGGCTGGCGGCCTCTCTCCCTTTCTCCTTGGCCCCTTCCTCCCTTCCTGCAGTAACTCCACTTCCTCTGCCCGGGGCCAGGGACCCTCCCCAGGCGCTCTAAGAGTATGCTCCCTGGAGAAGGGAAGGGCCTGGAGGCCACTGTGAGAGGCAAGGACCTGCATTCCCTACTGCCCCTCCTGGAAACTTTCCTGGAGCTCAACGCTGGGCCTAAGACTTGTCAGGACCCATTGCTAGAGGCGGAGAGGTATCGACCAGAGAATGGCTCCCCCAGAAGTGACCCCTGGAAAAAAGGAAAATTCCGTGGCCAAGGGCCCCCTTCTGCCCTGAGGGAGGATCTTTCCAAGGGAGGAAGCAGATGTGTGTGTGTGTGTGTGTGTGTGTGTGTGTGCATGCACCAACATGTATGCATGTGCCCCCACCTCCAGGGGGCTCTAGACCTAGAGATTAGCCTCCCACTGTGTCCGAGAAAACAAACGTTCTTTGTGGGCCCCTGGCTTTTGTCTTGGGAGAGGGAGAAATTTGCAACTAGACACTTCTTGAAAGGAGACACTCCATTTCGCAAGTGAGCCCTCTCACCCAGCACACCCTGCGGCTGGCTGAGCAAGGAAGGCACTTAGGCACGAAACCACAGGCACCGGGCAACACCCCTCCACCACCCATCCCACCCGGCCCCTCCCCAAGCAGCAGCTCTTCCCCTCTCCGTCCCTCCTCATCCCCAGTGCCCCCTCCCTGCAGCCCCACCACAGGACAGGGATTGTGGGGGGAGTGGGGAAGGGAAATGATGGTCCAGGCAGAGGCAGGTTTGTGTCTAGAGCCCGGGCTGCTAAACTTCCAGGCCAGTGCGTTGGCCCTCAGAGGAGGTGAACTGGGATTAAGTAAGACTCTGCATGTAAAAATGCTGTGTGAACTGTGATTCCTCACACCGTTATCACTCATGACTGAAATCATTTCACCATTTCTGCTTTCTGGGGCTAGAATGAAGAAGGGGCCTGACCGCGCCCCCCCCCCTCCTCTTTTTACCTCTTTTTGTTGGTAGTCAGGGCAGAGGAGAGCCCCGAGAACCCCAAGGTGCAGGCAGAAGGAGATAGGCTTGGGTCTGACCCCTTCCTGGTCCGGCCTCTGCAACTCTCCTGACCTGAGTGCATGGTGGTTGCTGTCTCCTTTCTTTCTTCCCACCACCCAGACCATCCATTCTCTCCTTCCTCTCCAACCTGCTGCAGAGCTACCTTAAGAATCACACCTTGAGCCCCATCTGCGTGCTCTCTGATGCCTTCATGCTTTCGAGGCGTTTATATGTATCTGGACCCACTGCGCCAAGCACCCACTGCGCGCCAGTCTCCAGCCCCTTCCTGCCCTCCTCTCCCTTCAGAGGTGGACTGAGTACCAGGGACATTTCCGTCACTGTGCCCGCCTCTGCATCTGTCTTCTTTGTGTTCCTTGACCAAAGCTCCCTTCGGGGTCAGAAAGAGGCTGCCCTGGGTCATTGGAGATGATTCTCCCAAACCCCCGGGGACCAGCCACTTGGCCTCATTACAGGGGGAAGAGTCGAGTCAGAGGCCACAGTGACCTCCAACGCAGTACGCCTGGTAGCTGACTGTCCTCTGAAAGTTCAAAGACAGCAGGGCACTGAGCGGTGGGCCAAGCCTGGATGTGTCTCAGGCACTTCATCCCCACCCCACCTCACCTCACCCTGTCCCTTTAGAAGTTACCAAGAATTTCTCTCGATATCTCTTTCACTTCCTGGGTTTCATCTCCCTCAGAACTAAATGTGAGATCCCCACCGCATCTAGCCCCGATTGCCCGGATTGGGGTTCCTGAGGTCAGAGTTCAAAGCAGAATTCAAAGTGATGGGGGTGGAAGGGAACTGACACCTGTTGGGCATCTCCTGTGTCCCAGCGTCTGTGCTGGGTGCTTTACATGCATTATCTCACTTAATCCTCCTAAAACTGCAGGCAGGTTAGGGAAGGACAGTGGCCCCCAACCACGTGGGGTTTTATTTCCAAAGCACTCCCTTATCCCCACCCTGCGAGACAGGCAGGGCAAACACTGTCATGCGCCGTAATATGACATTTAGGTCAACAACTCATCACATATGCGACGGTGGTCTCATAAGGTTATAGTGGAGCTGAAAATTCCTATCATCTAGTGACAGTCATAGCCACCGAAGCGTTGTAACATCATAGCACAACAATCACATGTTTGTGACGATGCTGGTGTAAACTAACCTACTGCGCCGTCAGTGGTATAAATGTATAGCACACACAATTACTGGGTTTATACCATCCGGGTCTGTGTACGTTCACTCTATATGTTCACACATGACAAAATTGCCTAATGATGCATTTCTCAGAATGTATCCCCCTTTGTAAAGTGGCCCATCCCTGTACTGTTCTTCCTTTTTATGAACTGAAGCTAAGAAACAGGTCTAAAGTCCTGGAGACAAGACTTGAACTGAGGCCTTTATTCAAAACCCCATGATCTTTCCAGTCAGAAGTCAGAGGAGACCAGGTCCGGTCTGAGGCAAGTCCTAGGCCCGCTTGGAAGCCCCTGGCAGACACCAAAGTACGCAACTGAGCCCGCTCAGCCCAACCACTGACTTGTGGTGGACACAGGGCCTTGGGGAGGGCTCTGGCAGGGCAGGAACAAAACGAAGAACACGGGGATGGTTTCTGCCCTTGAGGAGGACTCAGCGTGGAGGAAGATGGAAGTCAGTCACACCTCAAACCAGACAGAGGCCGGGCAGCAGAGAGGCAGGTGGCTCGGTCCCCAGGCTGGGGACAGAGAAGGCTCTGAGCTGAGGGGAGGAGGTAGCTGACCACTGGGTCCCAGCAGCATCCATTCCCATAGCCCCACTTTGTGCCAGATAAACACCTGCAAGTGTTGCTTTGATGTTTTGTATCTTTAAGCTGTATATATGCAATGCCTCCCAGCTAGACTGTGCGCCCTACAGGGGCAGGGCTCCTTCCAGTTCTCAGATGGCATTCTCTTGTCTACCTTCACTCATCCGTGTTGTCTGGCACAGTGCCCTGCATATCGTAAGCTCAATAAATGCTCATTTGCAAATAAGTGCTCTTTCTTCCACAACTTAGAAATGGT